AATAAATATTTTCATATAGTTATTTATTATTCCCATTTCAAATAAAATTTGCCCAGGTCAGCATATTATTTATTACACAACAAAAGTTGCTTTGTTAATAATTTGCTAACAAGAAATTGTAATTACATGGAAAAACTCTACTATTAATATTAAACAAATTCTATAAAAATATTTATATTGAATTGATTAAATTAAACACATTATATTGAATAAATACTAGTACAATTTAAGTATGTGATAGTACACAGGAGAGAGACTGTCTTATCTGGAGGTTTATTTTTGTAATATCCTGATACCAAAACATTCTANCATTATATTGAACTAATACTAGTACAATTTAAGTATGTGATAGTACACAGGAGAGAGACTGTCTTATCTGGAGGTTTATTTTTGTAATATCCTGATACCAAAACATTCTATTATGTAAAAATTTCATAAAGTTCTCTACTAGGTCAGCGTTAGGCTATCTATTTCTTATAAGTCAAAATAAGATTCCCTGTTTTTTCTAATTAGACGTACGATAAATACCGATAATCTGCTTCTTCTAGGCAATTATTGACGACGAAAAACGACGAACAAATTGTATGGGTAATTTAGTTCAAGTTTAGTTTAATTAAGTGACGTACGACAGAATATGTCGCGCATTTAGTTGAAATTATAAAGTGTTTTTATGTCGAAAAAAATATCACTCAGTTAGTGGTCAATAATAAGATGTATAGTATGTATCATCTAACATTTCAATAAAACGTTTTAATCTAATATTCTTGGAAACAAAGCTTCTTATAGATGAATTTGTTAACCTATTCTGTTTTAACGTAGTGGTATATGAAAAAGTAAATGGCAACTTGAAGAGATAGATATGATTATTGTTGTGCGATAGAAATCTCCGAACGCTGAGTGTGAATGATGCCTGTCTAAACCGAAGCGGATAAGTTTGATCGTTTAAAGATGATTTTGATTGATTTTTTGGGAAATACCTACAGCATGAGGTTTGTGTGTATGTATGTGTTATAGAAATATTTACAAGGATAAGAATTATTACTAAGTTAAGAATTATTACTACAACACTGGAGTGTTGTCAAAGAGTTTTCAAAGATAATTGTCAACAGCAGTTAATCTCAATTGTCATTAAATGTTCTTGATAATCTTTGTATTATTATAAAAAATGTGAAGCATTCCAATGGAAATACTTAAAGTTGTCAACATTTCTTTGTATTTAGAATACATACGTTTAATACAGTCATACTTTTCAATGTACTAATAAAAGAGATTCCATTTAACTGCTCCACTCTGCCCTGTAACTTCAATGTGTAGTTTTGTTACATAAAACTAGTCGATTACTGGACTAACAGATCACACCTACCATCCTACAATATTTAATAAGAAATCAGAATTGCCAAAGAAGCATGTTTCACTTCAAGCTTTCTTTTCTCTTTCTCATCAAATTAAACTAATTAAATACAGACAAAAGTGAAATAAAATTGACATTATAATGCGAACAGATTTCAATTAAACGTGGCAACCAAAACTGAGTTAAGAAAATAGGAGTAAAATAAAATCAGCTACCTTCCTATACAACGTTCCAATTGCACAGGGGGCCCCAAAAATGTCGCAAGCCCTTGAAAGGGGTGATTCCTAAAATGATTTGAAGTAACTTTTCCCTTAGCATAAATGTTCTTCGCGGTTACGTTAATGATCTATTAACGAAAAATATGGACCAATCAGAGGGCGAGTACAGCTGGCGCCTATTGGCACGATAGAGAACTCTGATTGATCCGTTTTTTGTTAATAACTCGATAAGGAAGCCATCGAGAACATTTTCGCTAAGAAAAAAGTTACTTCGAATTGTCTCAGAAATCGTCCCTTTTAAGGGCTTACAACATTTTTGTGACACCCTGTACTTTACATTATGTACACAATTCCTATGATTATTTCTGTCATTTATATACTGTATTACTGTTCAAAATATTAGCATATTCTTTCTTTTCTACAGAACTAGTCTTTACTACTAGATAAATATTCTCCTACTATTGCGTTTAATTGAAAGACGTCCATAGAACTTTAAATTTTAACGAATGCATTTTCCTTAACAAAAAATTGAAGTCTACTAGCATACAGAAAAAGATATCAAATCATATGTACATGTAAGGTGTTGACAAATTATGAATAATAAAAATTGTTTGGTTTGCATATATTAACAGCTAGGAACCACTTTTGCTGCTAATAAATTATGAGAATAATCAAAGAAAAATATGACGGAAAATGAGAAAAATCCCTATCTGCTGAATAAAAATGGAAAATTTGTCAAGCATGGAATAGATTGTGCGAAGGTCCATGGTGTACTGAAATCTCTAAGCGTGGATCGTCTGTTTTTATTTTGCAAGTGCAACGGTATAAATGAAACAAGAAAGAGGAGATAGATGTGTGCGTCGTGAAGATCACAAGTTGTAAATATAATTTCTATTGTACGCACACAGAGCGCAAGTGAGTGCACAGAATGTTCGATTTAACATTGTCGATATTCCAATATATCTAAACGTGTAGATAATACGTGACCACAATAAACTACCGGTGGTTATCACATCATATTAAAATTAACTGTATTGATAATTCCACATCAAACTTCATGTACTTGTTCAATCTTTTGTAATCCTCTACTTTGATATTTATAGAATATTGTGAATAATAAGTTAATAAATAAATTGTTTTTAAATAAATCATTAAAAATATTTTACATGGAAATTACACTTATTAAATTACACTTTCACTTAAAATTTGAGCAGCAATCTAGCAAAACTGAAGCAAATGAATTAACGTAACATTAATTTATACATTTATCTAGCACATTTAGTAGACATTTTACAAACTATATACACGTAAACGTTACAAGTAATGATTCTTTTATTAGATTCTTGACGCACTAAAAATACATTCTTCCGAACGCAGAAATGTAAATAAGAATAACGTTCGCATAAAGAGCATTTAACAATTGATTTATTTGTTGAAATTCTCGCTTAAGTCATAAAAATTTGGAACATTTAGTTGAAAAAATTGGTCAAATGCCTCTTCGATAAATCACACAAGCTTTAGATTTATATCTGTTTGCACAACCGAATCGTGTTATCATCTTCAAGATATCGTTCAAAAATATGAAGGATAATCGCACCTTCCTGGCTTTTGTTAATAATAACAGGAAGAAGAGGCTTATAGTATAGAATATTTACAATATGATGGCGAAGAATTTTGTAAACTAATTACGTTCCCGCACTTTACTCTATGGAAGATAAGAATGTTCAATCTAAGTGAAAGAAACATACATTTTCATTTAAACAAATAACACAATTATTAAGTGCACGCATTCGTGCATATATTACGATATCAAACTTTGTACACAGTTAAATTAAATTACCTGCATAATGTCTATTATTATTAGATAAATTATAGACATATTTATAAACCTACACATATATAAAATACATGTCACTATAAAAACATTTAATAACCATATGAACCGTATAAGTAATAAATCATTTCCTGAAGTATCGTTCGATATCGATCGATAGTCTCTCATCAAAAGATAAAAAGCGGTGTACAAAATTCAAATTCCACGATTCAAAACTAATTCTCGATAAAGTAATTTCATTCTTCTGCAGTTTCTTCATATTTATAGAAACAAAAATAGTAAATAGTAAATGCTCTCGTCAAACGCAATTGTACAAATCAGCGTGTCAAAGAGTGTCACAATGTGTCAAAGATATTTCGATCCAAGTCTCGATAATTTCATGTGGAATAATCGGAATTAATGAGAATGTACAGTTATGAGATTTGTGGCGGGAAAGCGGATCCTGGGAGAATAGTGATCGAAGATGCACAGGATGCAAACACCAAGTAAGATATTATTAAGCGTACCTTTATCCTGGATACAGCTTCCTCCGCCTGGCACATACGGGTAGATTTAGTGGGTTCACCTTCACACACGAGCTGCGTAGATCCGAGGTATCTCGCTCGAAACAGGACACCCTCGATCAAAACTGAAGGATCATCGAGGAGAGCTGAAATGGCCACGGAAATGCACCATTTAGTTTGGTCGGCATTATTTTTCTTGTCGATGCAACCGAATGCTGTTAGATAATCGATCGAAGAATTAAAAAGTCTAATTGACGACAGGGGAACAGAAATAGTAGCATTGTTCGCTAGTGATCCATCTTTTCGAACAATGTTGTTTTCCAATTTCATGTCCGTATCTTTAAAAGTTTCATAACATCTGTTCACTGGATAAGCATCTGGCAACATAGTTTCGTCACCGTTTACGTTGAATAGTTTACAACGTTCCATCTGCATTCGAATGAATATTTATTGTTGATTCGTTATTTCAGGATAATAATTTATATCCGTGTGCTCTTTTTTAAGTTCAATCACTATACGGTTTCACTTTGTCACTTTATCGGCGTTGTTTCTATAATTAAACAATTCATTTATGCAGTTGATCAATTATATGAAAATCGAATTTAATTCACTTCGTTGGTTCTGTTCCACACTGTCTATTCCAGCATTGTTCTCAAACTCCACTTATGCTTTGATAAACACAATTTTTTTGTTAATTTTTGTCAAAAATTGTGTCAGCTATATTCGTTTGAAGAATATGACAACTGTGCCCACAGCAAAGCATGTAGCACTTATCATTGTCATCACAAAACGATTACTATTGTTACGGGAGAAACGTATCTACTACTCTCGGCTACTGATGCAGCTTTCAAGGTTCTATGTAAATGTCAGAGTTTATTCACGTACTTTCTTTGTTAGAAATTACTACAGCACAGTCTTCAATTAAAATAAAACAATACACAGGTCACTTTCATAGTAAACGATATGCTCAGTAATCCAGCTAATTTTGTAAAACTATGTTCGTTAGATACGACATTGGAGCTCATTTCAATAAGACTGATCAATACGTAAGTCTCAAGTGAGAAGTATATTGTCGACCATCGATGATAACGTCGAATACATCTTAGCGTGATGTTTGATTCTGTGTTGTTCGTATGTGACTGATTCTCTGCGCGTACCGTATAGATGTACACAAACTTTGTAGAGATACGGATTTGTGTTACACATTTGTGTATATTAAGATCGAGGATCGCTGATTACGCTATCCAACAATGTTTCATATTTTTATCTTGCGTTTCGATAAACGATCAAGGATCTGAATTCATGTAGTGTAGTTGAATTTTCGAAATAAATTGGAAAGTATCCGACAAAATCGATGCGTTAAAGACGTCCCACTTTCTTTAAACGCTGTTTAAACATGTTCGAATGTTTATAATATGATACAAAATTATTCCGTTGAATTTGACAAAGTTACGGAATTGTTGTACATAAGAATCGTTTGTATAGCTTCTATAGTTAGAACAGAAAAATTCTTGAAGTTGGAAATTGGTTCTGCTTTTCCAAAATTGTGTTTCTCAGAAACTATGGATGATGGATAAGAATTGTCTACAGATTAGTGAAACGCAAAATTGGTGTTGGACAGATAGAAATTGGACACATAGAGAGAAATTTGTTAACATGTAACTATTTTTGTTAAACTAAACTGTGGATGTTTCGCGTTCGCGATATAAATAATTTTATAAAATACGATTTTTATTACGCTTATATAGTATACCTACCAAGTATATCCAACAGGAAAGCATTAAGTAAGAAAAAGAAAATTAATTATTTAAGTAATCAAATTTTATAGTAAGTTGTATCCTCGTGTGAGACTATTCACGCGAGTCCATAGAATAAGTTGTATGTGATTTTGTATATATTCTTTATACAGGCTGACCCATTTAAAAATCTTCGAAATCGTTGATGATGCTACATAATGTTTCAAACAAAAGTTGAAAGGTTTTAGGGGGCACGTAATCTGTTATGAATAAGATTTTTCTAAGTGAACGCGTCGACGACATATGAAGGACAATTTGATTTTTTTCAATGGAATCATAAATTCTTCATGGAAATACTAAGGTATCTATTACGAAAAATCATTGGTTTAGAAGATATTTTAATTTTATTAATGCATGGGGTTAGCACTCACGTATCTAAAGTTGGTGTTCAAAAATACGACCTTCAAAATGAATGCAAAAATTTACTCGGTCTCTAAAAGATACTAAAATTAAAATATTTTCTAAACCAATGATTTGTCGTATTTTAATGAAAAGAACGACGAGCTTAATCGAATAGTACATTAAAAAATTTATGATTTCATTTTAAAAAATAAAGTTGACCTTCATATGTTCTTTACGCGTCCATCTAGAAAAATCTTACTCGTATCAGATTACGTGCCCCCTAAAACCATTCAGCTTTCATTTGAAACATTTTTTAGTATCATCAACGGTTTCGAAGAGATTTGATATGTCGATTTATATAGGTCACTCTATATGAGATTGTCGCTAATGCGTGATAAATCTATCAATTCGTGTGTTTTAAAGATGGAGAAACATTTTGTCTATTACCTTCTTTGTTTCTGCTTTTTTTCTTCTCTTCTTTATCCTGTGAAACAGAATGATCGAATGTATTTACTGTATGTACAAAATGATTTTTAGTAATATTTACGTGCTTTTTGCAAATCACATGTCTCATACAACCTGTTAAAGCATCTTCATGCAGTGAATTTCGCATATCCAGCAATGTTAGTTAACAATCATTTGAAATAAATTTCATTTCTATTTCTAATTAAATTGAAACGACACATTCTCCCGTTTTAATATTGTCTAATCGCTTTGATCATTTTTATGATATAACGCAACTACATTTAGGTCAAAATACAAAGTTAACAGACAGTTAATAGTAATAAATGAAAAAACGAATGGTACGAACCAGATAAATAAATTGATTCTTCATATAGTTAAAAAATGAATGCTAATAAATACTGTCACATTTAACAGTTCTTAAAGAGAGTTTTAGAATTGAAGTAAAGCTTTATAGATTATATCATGTTTACAATATTATTTTACCGTTTCTAAATTTTTATAACATTTGGCAAAAAGCTTAGGTAAAGAGAATCATAACATAACTGTACATCTTATATTTTTAAAAATGTTAACTTCTTTAGATCTAATATAAAAGATTAATAAAACATTTATTTTATTAAACAAAAGTGTACTAATTTATTTATAACTATATTCCATAGCCTTTATTAGTATGATGTTACACAGCCAAAAGTTGAATTCTGTAACCAGTGAGGAAAGGTGGAAAGTGTGCATGATATTTGTGTATACAGGAATTTAAGCAAAT